AAAAAAAAAAAAAAAAAAAAAGTGCACTTGCCAGGTAGAATTAAATACAGAAACAAAGATCTCCCTGTATGATGCATTTGTGATGATTTGTTAGGTCTCAAACAACCAGGAAGCTCAGCGACATTTTAAGGTTGCACCTTGGATGCCTTCTGCAAGGACAAGCAGGATTTTCACAAGAAAGGCACACCTCACACCTGGTTTCTATGGCCTGAAGCCCCAAAATATCAGAAAGGGAAACATTCTTTAAAGACCTCTGCCTTGGGCTAACACAGAATTTACAGGAGGACTTGTGTTTTCACAAATTCCTTCTGTAAATTTCCTGCAGGATTAAGGCCCTGAGAGAACAAAGAGAATCTGAGAAGAACCAAGAAGACATTTTTTGCAATTCTAAAGTAAACTCTAAGGAAAATGTCTCTGTGCTCATAATCACCATAGTGCCTTGAAGGCCAGGCATATCTTCTGTGCATGCAGAGATCTCTATACTCTGCCTCTCCTTTTATTAGTGTGGGTGCAGCTTAGCCCTCAAGCTGTACATTTCTCTCTGTCTGCTTTGAAACAAGCTCTACCTGTACTTCTGCATGTCCACAAATGTGTGTTGACTTGATTCATTCAAAGTTATGACAGACTAACAGGTGAGGGCCAGCTTCACCTGGAGTCAGGGCCAGGCTTTCTGACAGCAACTCTATAAGTGCTGGTAGTTCTGCCATTAGCCAGTTTGCACAAATTTAGTTCATCCCTATTAGCACAACCAGTGCCTGTGTTGTAAATGTTGGGGTGTAGGAGTACTGGGGATCATGTTCATGCAGTTTTATTTTTTCCTTAAAGACAGGTTCTCACTGAATTCCTCGGGGAGAGCTAGAACTCACCATCCTCCTCCAGCCTGGGTCTCTCCTAGCGCTAACAATTCCTGAGGTCTCCTCTGCCCCATATGCCTACTGTGACTACAGCACCCAGCATGGGGCCAGTTGGCCCTGCACTAATGGGTCCCACCCTAACTGAACTTCCTGAATTTCTCTTTCAGGGCCAACTTTTTATTGATTTATCTTTGACTTATCTTACCTGCACATACAAAAGTGAGGGTTGTTTTCCCAAAAGTAAAAGATCTTACTGAAAAGATTTCCACTTATCTGTAAAGATAACAGCTTATGAGTGTCATAAGACTGGAGTTCCTTAGTTTTTACTCATGCACACTATGGAAGAAGTTCAAGAGCATCTTACAGAATCACTAAATTTGAAAACCTCATTGCCTTAGTAAGAAATCATATGGGGAGTTTTACACACACTGGCCTGAGAATTTCAACACAGAATGGTCATTGAGTAAAAAGCAAGATACTAAGACCCAGCTACACGTAAGACCTTTCTCATTTACATTCCATTTTTGTTTGGGATAGCCCACTCCGTCCCCTGACTCAAAAAATATTACAGACTTTCTTGGTATGTTATGTTAACTTGTTCTCTTTATATCAACCGATCCTTTCTTTACACTGTCTGTCCTTGGAATGGTCTGTGTTGTGTGTGTGTCATTCAGGAAAATATCACTAAGCACTTCGAACAATATGATCCACTTAAAAGTACTTTTCAAATTAAAAGTGCTATTTAACAGTCCTCTCTCTCTCTCTCTCTCTCTCTCTCTCTCTCTCTCTGTGTGTGTGTGTGTGTGTCTGTGTCTGTGTCTGTGTCTGTCTGTCTTTTTTTTTTTTAAGGAGGAAGAACATCAATCTGTGGGCTGGTCACACAGAACTAGTCTTTCTATTTAACTTATTTCCAGGAAGACATACCAGTGAATCTGGCTAACAAAATGCAGAGGAAAATGCTTACAGATTGATCGTTATGTGGAGAGCCATCTGAAGCCCGGGTCACCATGCCATTTCCATCTGCTCAAAAGAAGGAAAAATTAATTAGAATCACAAAAATAATTGGATTTTCACTGCAGACCCTAAATATACCCACACTGCCTTCTGCTGCTGAAGGAAAGATGGAGTAATACTATGCTAACATGCTGCGGGCATTGCGACTGTCACACCGAGTTATTGCCATGTGACTGATTTATCTTATGAACCTGTATTTCTTTACATTTTCATCATAGGCTCTTTAAAAGCGGACTCCTTTTCTTTATGGGAAAAATGCATGCATGCAAAGTTTTACCTGCAATTTTGAGGACTCAGAGAAGTGTGTTCAAAGAATGAGATTAAGATGCCACTGAAAAGTCACAGGACATTTCCACTCTGGCTAAGAAGCTGGCAGTGAAAGCCCAGAGGTCATTCGCACTTCCAATGATCAGAGCCACCCTATCGGGAATGGACCTCCCCCGCTTCACATTCAGATTGAGTAAAATGAACCATATGCAAAACAGGTGGCATGCAAATCTCAGGATATACACCAAAATGTCCAGATTTAGATCCACAAAAAACTTGGAAATCTTACATCAGCTACATGATCAATGTATTTTATGATAATAAAGATTAGGATTTTTGTGTGGTATAAGAGACACTGATCTTAGGTTTTTAAAGTGTTTTTGAAAGATCTATCACATAACAGAGGATACTGATCTGTCTTTTGGGGATCTATAGGTCAAATCCTAAGTTCTGTATATCCTCATAACTAGATAATTCAGTCCATTGGGGGAGAAAACAGACATGGAAGGGCAAAGCACGTTTCCAATGATTCTGCTTGTATTTATCTAAGGATAGCAGCCCCTGCTGGTAGCTGTCACACAAGTCTTCCCATCAAATGGAAATGTACCAGTAGCATAGCAGGATACAAAGTCAATACCCAAAAGTAAATAGCATTCCTCTACACAGATAACAAACACATGGAGAGGGAAATTATAAAAACAATACCTTTTATAATAACACTGAAGAAAATGAAATACCTTGGAATAATCTAACATCTAAAGAAGTCAAAGATCTTTTCAGAGAAAATTACAGTACTCTGAAAAAGAGATTATAGAGGATTTCAGAAAATGAAAAGATATTCCCTGCTCCTGGATAGGAAAAACCAACGTTGTAAAGATGGCCATGCTCCCACAATTGCTGTACAGATTTAGTGCAATCCCTATCAAACTACCACCAACATACCTCCCAGACCTAGAGAAATCATTCCTAAAATTTATTTGGAACCAGAAAAGACCTAGAAAAGCAAGGCAATCCTGGCCAACAAAGACAAGGCAGAAGGCATTACAATTCCTGACTTGAAATTATACTACAAAGCTACTATGATAAAATCAGTGTGGTACTGGCAATGAAATAGACCTGAAGATCAATGGAATACATTAGAAGATGCTGAAGCCTCTACAAACACACTGAGCCACCTTATCTTTGACAAAGGGATGAAACATACTCACTGGAAGGAAGATAGATTCTCTAACAAATGGTGCTGGAAAAACTGGCTCTCTACAGGCCAAAAAATAAAACTTGACCCAGGTCTATCACCATGCACTAAACTAAAGTCAAATGGATTAAAGATCTAGACATTAAAACAGAAACATTAAATCTCCTGGAAGAGAAAGTAGGAGGAACTCTTCAAGACATAGGGGTAGGCAAAGAGTTCATGAACAAAAATCAAATCACATGGATAATACTTGAAAGAATTCACAACTGTGACCTCTTCATTGAGAAGTTTTTGCACGCTGAAAGAAATTATCAACAAAGTAAAAAAGACAACCCACAAATTTTGAAAAAATCTTAATAAGCATTCAGACAAAGGTCTGTTCTCTAGAATTTATAAAGAACTAAAAAACATTAGGACCCCAAAATTTAAAGACCCAGTCCAGAAATGGGCATCTGAGATGAACACACACTTCTCAGAGGATGAAATTAAAGTAGTGAATAAATACATGAAAAAAATGCTCCACATCACTAGTCATCCATGAAATGCAAATTAAAACAACACTGAGATACCATCTCACACCAGAAAGAATGGCTATCATAAATAAATCAACCAACAACAAATGTTGGAGAGGCTGTGGGGAAAAGAGAACCCTTCTCTACTGTTGGTGGCAATGTAGACAGGTGCAACCATTATGGAAATCAGTATGGAGAGTTTTTAAAAAACTAGGGCTGGAAATCCCATTCAGGCCAGCTATCCCCCTACTGGGAATTTTCCCAGAGGAACTGAAAACGTTGTATCATAGTGATATATGTGTACCTATGTTTATAGCAGCACAGTTTGTGATATTCAAAACTTGGAAACAACCAAGATGCCCATCACATGAGGAATGGATGAAAACGATATGGTATTTTTATACAGTGGAGGATTACTCAGCTATAAAGAATGGTAAACTTGAGGCATTTATGTTTAAGTGGAGGCCACTTGAAGATATACTCATAAGTGAAATAAACCAGACCCACATATGTAAATACCATATAGTCTCCCTAGTATAAGAACTCAAAAGAAGAAACACAAATAGAAAGGTATAACACAATTAAAAGGAAAGCAAGAACTTGAGGATTGGACAATGAGGAGAGGGCAAGGAGAAAAGCTGGGAAACAAGACAGGGGCAAAGCCATACATTTATATGCACAAGATGGGTAAGGCAATGATGCTGAGAAACATCAGCAGGTTTTTGAAACTAACAGCTAATTGGTAGGATTCTTACCCTGACTAACTATATATGCTGATACCTGTGAACCAAGCAGCTGCACTGAAGACAGCAATTTGTAGTAGAAGCATCATGCTTGGAATACCTGTCATTCTGGTCTTCTACATGTGTACTGCTTGTCATAACATACCAATTGTTGCCATACTATCTCTCAAGTAAATATTTGTTTTTTTTAAAAAAAGGGTAATGCAAATGGAAATGTGCTAGGCCTACAAAATCCCCTTCCTGCTGCACAAGCTAACAGAGTCCCAACATACACAACACCAGATGACTCGTACGCTACTCGTGTATTCACCTTTCTACTGGACTCACTCTACAAGTGCATCACATTGATCCAAGATCTACACCGGAAGGCCGGGCTCTGCTTGTGGTGGGGGATGACTGCCAGCCCTTCAGACGTCAGACTGGGTGGAGCATGGCCATGAAAACCACTCCAACTTGAGTCACATAAAATTCGATTTCAATTCCTCAACAATGTGGCAAAAACATACAGGCATGTGCTCATGACAGGATATCATGTCTGCATGGCAAGATTAGTGTCCCTTATACCACACAAAAATCCTAATCCTTATACTCATGTATTTCTAGCTTGGATACCTTTGAACCAAAAGCTCTTAATAGTACATATCAAAATTTGTTAGAGACCCAGAGTGCAGGTCCGGCGAGTGAGTGAGACGACC